AAAAAGCCACTTGCACAAGCAAAGCAAAGCAAGGAATTAATTAATTCCTTCCCATGGGCAGGAGGTGTTTGGCCATCTCAAGAAGAGCGGGGCCCCATCACGCATAACAGTTACTTGAGAAGACAAATGCCATCACTCCAAATGTCCCCCACTTCCTCCTTCTGCCTCCCACTTTATATACTGAGCATGATGTCATATGTTGTGGAATATCCCTTGTCACCTGCCCTGACTGTGTCTTCTGCCAAGCTCCCATGTACCCCCAACTGACTTGCCAGCATAGCAGTATGGAAAGCAGAAAAAGCCTTGGTTCTGTTGAAGCTCTGCTCAGCAATAACAAAAATATCTCTGCCTTATCAACCCTGTGTTCAACACCAATCCAAAACATAGCCCTGTACTAACTAGATAGTGTGAAGAAATTTAACTCTGCTTCAGTGCAAACCAGCATGCATAACAAATATATTTAAGCAATAGGAATACTGAGGAAGACATTATCTAATTTGCTTGTACGTACATTGATATCTTCTCCAATGACTGTGAAGACTTCCTTCATGTTAGTATACTTCTTTTCCAGGATTTTGCATTTCTTGATAAGTACAAGTGACATGTAAATGAATGGAAATAAAGAGTGAAAGAAGAAAACTCTGTTTTTCATTGTAGGTGTTTGCCTAATTACTGTGAACATGGTGGTGTGTGCTCACAGTCCTGGAACAGCTTCTACTGCAACTGTGCCAATACTGGTTACAAGGGTGCTACTTGCCACTATCGTAAGTCTTGAGATATTTTCTGTTTTCTGACCTTGCTTTTATTTCTGATTAAATTTTTTCACCGTAGTAAAGATCCAACCCCAAATCAAACCAAAAAACATTAGTGTTGATCATTCATAAAGAATTTTCAGTCATGTAAATATTCCTAAATTGGTTTGATAAAATGCCTTGAAAATTCAAAGAATATAATAGAAAAAGATTCAAGTGTTCAAGTGTTTATTTGTTTCTCTGTTGCATTTTTCATATTCTACATGAGATGGTCAGTAATATTCTCTTCCATCCATACAATTCCAATTTCTGAATCAGGAAGTCATTTAGAAATGTGTTAAATTCATCTTTATTCATCATGATTATTAATAGTCATTTTTTATGAGACACTGGGACTACATTAATGTCCAAAGATAATCATGTGCTAAACCCTACATGTTTTCATGTAGTTTGCTGAATCAGGAAGTGGATTAGGAGAAAATGAAACAAAAAAACCCAAACTCTAATTGAAGGTAACTTAGCTAGAGATGTTTTACGTTTGTACTGCTTTAAGCATGTTCTAGGAAATTACTTTGGCTTTCATTTTATGCTTCGAATAACTAGAAATACCTATAAAACTTTACTGATAATTAAAAAAAATTCAAACACTTCCTTACTGATTGAATTCTAACTTTATAAATTGTCCTTATAAAATCTATACAGTTTTTTTGGCAGCTCTTATGAAAGGAATAAATGTCTACACATGGAATTTTTTGAGAAATCACTGATTTTAGAATACTGCATATTAAATCTTGCTTATACAGAGTGAACAACAGTGATGACCTTTTCTGTAATGACTTCATTGTAAAGAAGACAGTGGCATAAATAACTGTATTAAGAAAAACAGAGTAATAAAAAAAGGATGCTGATAGTACAGAGGCTTTTGAATACCACAGTGTATACTACTAAGCTATGACGAGCCCAAAGTGAAGATAAAGGTGATTTGATTCATTGCCATTTCAAAAGTCATAAATTGAATCAACTGATGATACCTAGAGGACAGGTGGAGATTGTGGTTTCCTAGTGATTAGGAGTCAGTGAGAAATGTAATAATATGATCAGTTATCAAATTAATTTTCATTGTTTAAAAAAGTTAATGGATATATGAACCTCTTTTGTTATGTCTAAATTCAACTAAAACTATTTACTGTAAGGAACCATAAGGTTCCATTTGAAAATTGCATAAAATATGCCTTCTGAATATTTCATAGAATAAAGAGTATGAATTAAATGTCTTCTTTGTAGCTGTTGCCTATAGTGTCGATAGCCATCAGGCAAAGAAGAAAAAGAGATAATACACTTCAAAAAACTAGCTTTCTTTAAGAAAACCCCAGCATGTTCTTTGGTTTATTATACTAGTATTTTATAGCATTTTTTAAAAAATATAATAAACTGAATTTACGTAGACCAAAATCATATAGATTTAGTAATTATTACCTACTTCTGTTTTATTGGTATAGCACTCATAACTACTTTTTGTTATTCATCTAATAGCTCATTCTTTTTGAAAGATTTTTTTCTTGTTTTGATACTACTGATAGAGCACACAGTTTGATTTTGAAAAGAAAGACCAGAACAGTATCAAAGCTCTACGGAAATGAAACAGTTAAAGAAGAAGTTAAGATGGTGTGCTCTAGCTGAGGCATTATCATCAGTGGATCCTGAGATACATTTATAGACATTTATAGACTCATATGTCTTTTTTTCTGAGATGCTTGATCATAAAGCAGTCATCACAGGGTTTTTTTAAGACCTTAACTGATATAAAGTATACATGACAAGGGACCAAGGAGCTGTCATTTTGTCTTTGCTTATTTAGTTATTTTACTGAAGTCTCTGACAAGTTACTTGCCTTTACATTTCAAAAGGGAAGAAAATAAGAAGTGTGAAAGCAAAAAAAATATTGCCTTCTGTTGTATGTAACAATAGTGGCAAAAACCTGATTTGGTTGAAGTAGTTAGTGAGTTTTTTTCTTCTAGATTTGGTTACCAAGGTCTAAGTAATATCCTTGGCATTCTACCATTATTCAGCAGGTTTTGCAACCATTTACTCACCCACATTTCATGCTTTCCTCTCAGAGGTTTTGAGTTTGAAATATAGAAGAAAATGCTTAAAAATGTCCTTTGTGATCTCCATAATAAAACCAAATCTGCTTAACAATTTCTAATAAAAGTATAGTTTTGATTATGTGATTTCTTCTACATTCTTTAGCAGTGAACACCCACATCCAACTTCATCCCAATGTCAGGATGCATGACATTTTTTTCTATTTTCCTGAATAAAGCTTAAAATTATACCATTACATTTGGGGTGGAATGTATTCTTTTACAGCCATCTATGAGCAATCATGTGAAGCCTATAAGCACAGAGGGAACACTTCAGGCTTTTACAATATTGATTCAGATGGAAGTGGCCCTTTGGGACCGTTTCTCGTATACTGTAATATGACAGGTAAGGTGATAAACTTCCTTAACTTACAGCTGGGACTGTATGCATGCTCATTATATTGAAACATGAGTTATCAAGTGAGAAGCCTGTATAGCTCATAAGTTTAATGTATATGTGCACAACAAAATGAAGGTGACTCCTTAGCTCAGAATATTGGGCAAAGAATTAAGCAGAGAAGTTAGAATAATAGCAGGATTCAGGCTGTGAAGCTAACACAGTATTCCTGTTGTGCTTTGCATAAATGGGACATGTGTTCCATATGGAGGCAATGTCACACTAGTTCATTTTTGGGGATCAGCTTTGTTTTCATTGCAATTGCAGCCTCTTGAGGACATTTAAGGAAATGAGAAATAAGTTATGCTTTATGAGAAAATTGCTGATTTTTCCCAGTAGCCTTCTGAAAAATTGTAATTCAGATCTGGCCTTTGTTTTAAGAAGTAGGTATTAAGCTTTGTTTTTCAAATTGCAAGGAGATCTTTTGGAGAATACAAATGCAACCAATGGGACTCTTGCTGACTCACTTTTGGACACTCTGCTTCCCCTTCTTCATCCAGTTCTTTGAGTCTGACCATGCATATAACTAGAAATTTTAGATATCAGAGTTTGTTGTTACGCTTCTGTCTAATGAGTCAGTTAATGTTATCTCTGTATGGTATATGGCATATTGGTATATGTCCTTTCAATGGCACTTACACTTAAATGGATTTTTGAAATTTATAATTATTGATTTGCAACTGTTTCCTTTGCTTTTTACTTAGACCCTATTTATTTGAATTATTTCCAGCCAAAATGTTAGAAACACTTTATTGTTTTCTGTGACAAAAATACTTTTTTACACAGCTCTAACTGTTTAAAAGACTACATGAATAACTTGGAGCTGAATTGATTTAGGTATGTCCAAAGTGTTGAGAACTTGACTTAGAAACCTTATCATAAGCTCTTGATGTTGATTTGTGAACAATTTGTGGTCATGTCTACTTCTTGAGAAAATGTCTGCCAATGGCATTTGTTGATTTTCACTATGATTTAAAGAATACTTACTAGTTGTGTTGAAATAGAATTCTCATAATTTCTCTCAGTCTGTACACTTTAGATAGTCTTGCCATGTCAGCTCCTAACTTTGACTTCTACAGTGAACTGTGCTAGCTCACAGTGAGCACATTTCACATAGGCACAGGCCCTTAAAAAGAAAAATCCTGGTGTCCTGTGAGACTAAAAAAGACCAAAGAATCATGGTAGAAAGATGACAATTTTTTTAAGTGGTTATAACTCTCCAAGGTACCGTGTAGTGTCTGATTTATCCTTGTGTGTCCATGAACAGCTGTTACTGTTTTCCTCAGTCACTCCTTATTCACCACATTAAGCAAACATCATTGATCAGTTCTTCATCTCAAGATGCATTCTGACAGGATGAATCTTCTATATTTGTTTTGTCCCCAGTTTCCTCATGACTGGTATTCCCTTTTCCCACCAGAGGCAGGGAAGGCAGATGCCCACATTTCCTACTGCACTGCCTTGTCTTTGACATTCATGGGGCTCTGTTTTCAGGCAGCTGGGAGGGAGGTGCCATTCCCTGGTTTTCTTCTTTGAGGTCAGTTTCAGAATGAAAAGCCTACAGTCCACACTACCAATTAAGATGACCAGACTTTGAAGTGATCTGCTTTTTTTTTTTTCCTTTGTAAATCTGGGAGTGTGACAATGAGTCTAATAACTGACCTCATTGTCTTCATTTTTTATGTTCAGTATAGCGTATAGGTATATTTGTGTTTACTTGCATGCACAAAAAACACCCCAATCAACCAACGAAAATCTAAATTTGGTGTAACTCTAGCCTTCTGCTTTTTGACACTATGATCATATCCTTAATAAAATATTTCATATATGTTTTCTGAATAATGCTTGTGTTTAAATTACCATGAGTTCTTTCCTTTATATCAATATTTGCAATCTCCTTATTGCTTCTTTGTATAATAGAAAAGGCCTGTATGCCATTTTCTCATACAGTATGAATTAATTCAAGTTATAAGGATATATGTAATGTAGAGAGATTCTGGGACAGAATGTAGTATTATTTTATGCATTATTTAAACCTGGGGAAAGGTAACAGTAGTAAGTATTATTTCTTTCTAGTCTTCCATTGCAGTTTGCCAAGTAGATAATATTTTATTTCAGAGAAAAATATTGCCATCACTTACTCTTTGCTTATTGAATAATCATAACCTGTATACCTGTTACAGTCATGGTACAATAATCTACCTATAAATAGATAAAATGATTAATTGTTTTCATTTTTGCTCAGTGATTTATGTCTCTGTTTCATGTGCCTAAAAGTGGTTTTTGTGATCAAAGAAGTTACCTTAAAGTTGGGCTGATTCCATCATACATGCTTTTTCCATTACCAACTTAGGCAACTGCTTCTCATTCTTTATTACTTTTCACATGTGTTTTCCAAGATGCAACATGGACAGTTATACAGCATAACAGAACCAACTTAACCAGAGTCAAAAGTGCTAATCGTGAAAACCCACACACTGTGTTTTTCAAGTACTCTGCCAGCTTAGACCAGCTTCAGGCTACAATTAACCATGCAGAGCACTGTGAACAGGAGCTTGCTTACCACTGCAAAAAGTCGAGGCTTTTAGATAAGCCAGGTAAGTAAAGCTGACAAATCTTATTATGTTGCATGGTGCATTTTATTTTACTGGCTACTAAAGATATTCATTTCCAACAAGGTTATAGCATTTTGCTACTGTCAAGTTTGAACCATTTCAAATATCTAGTACGCAGATTCCTGTAAGTTGCCAGGAGATACCTGAACTAGAAAAACAATGTCAGTTTATAATGATATTCTTTCAGAGAATTAAGTTCTCAAAGTTAATTTCTCTCATAAGACTTTTAAATTAACAGAGATTATTAATAACAGAGCTTCTCTTGTTCTGTCTTCCAGGGATTTTTAATTTTAATGAATTACTGAGGAAATACCATTTTAAAAGAACACATATTAGTGCATAGATACCGGAGAAGTTAATGTGCACACAAGGTGCATATTGCGAATGCTTGACAAAAAGCATCAATAACATTATATTTTTACTGTCCAATATAGACTTTCATAAAAAAACACAATAGTTAAAATGTGGATTATTGAAAAAAACTGTAACTGCTTCAAGGAATAAATACAGATCCTCTGCTGTACTTAATTAAAAGTGAAATTTTGTAGTCTACTTACATATTCACTCTCACTGACACAGAGCTGCTGTTAACAGACTTTACACTGAAAATCCATTCTAAGTACTCCAAATAATGTGAAGGTTAAAACCTCATTGTTTATTGCTTTTTGAAAGACTAGTGAGTTTGTTTGAGTTGTTCTCCAGAAATTCTGAAACTGCTAAGACTGGTATCTTGGAATTCTTTCCTATTAAACAAAGAGAAGGCCTCTGAGTGAAGCACTCTCTGGTTCTGTCTCTAAACTCTTTCCTTATGCATTCTTTTTCCCTAATTATGCTGTGGACATGTCTGGACTTTTTAGACTAGTATTTTCTCTTGGCAGAATATCTGTTTGAAAACACCTGCACAGCATAAGATATTGTGCTGAGCCTTCCTTTTACCTGTGGACTCTAAATTAAAGCTGTGTTTAGATGTTCAAACCCCTGCTTTACTTCAAGCAGAGAATGTCAAGATTTTTTAAATTTTATTGTTTTTTAATTCAAGGACTTTGCACATACATATGGGTTTTTCTGAAAAGCTAAAAAAATGCTACCAGTGAATTGTGCTGAGTCATGTAAAATTTAGTTTTGAATGCTAGGAGTAAGTAGACAAGGGAAAGTTATTCAAGAGGTTTACAGATTTACTATCATTCTTTGTTTAAATACTAGCAGAGATTGTACCAAATGCAACTTGCCATTCTTCTGAAGAGTGGGCTTTAGTCTGTTCTAAGAGAGAGATCTCTGAGGTAAGAAAGCTACGATATAGTGATCAGCCTAGGATCTAGTATGTAGTGTCTCCCTTGCATTCCATAATGAGGCCACTTAAAGGCAATCCTGAGTTTCATGATACAGGGATGGAATAATAACACTTAATGAGAGTTAGGGTTCATGTTTCCCTCTCTGTTTGAAAGCGGCCAGATACACACTTCCATAGCTGTTTAGATGAATTACTAACTTTGACATTTCTTTTCTAACATTCTTAATGAAATCACATCCTTAAAATAAAATTCATGTTTTTACACCCTGGGATTGAGAGCTGCTCTTTTTTACTTCAAGGGTAGTGACCACAGTAGATGATTTAATAAGGACAGATCATCTTTAACCCATTAGTTACAGTAAGACTAAAACAGTATGTTTCTGGGTAAAGAAGATGCCCCTTTGTAGATAGAGACTGCTCTGTGCTTTTGAAGGGCTAGATCTCACCTGCAAGGATAGTAATACCAGTTTTTTTTCCAGAATATATGTGCTGGTACTTTTTTTTCAGGGAACTCATTGATCAGTGAGCCTAGAGTAACCATTGAAATCGATGTTGTTTTCAGCATCTGAACCACAGCAGCAGCAAATGGTCTGAGTTTTCATGGTCTTAGAATCACAGAATCATAAGTCACTAAGTGGCCTAGGTTGGAAAGGACATCTATAGGTTGTCTGGTCCAATTCCCCTATACAAGCAGGATCACCTGTTGTTGGTTGCCCAGGACCATGTCCAGCCATGTTGAACCTTTCTCCCCGCGTCAAGACCTTTGCAATTTCCCTTTATGAAGTTCCTGTCAGCCCATTATCTTCAGCCTGTCAAAGTCCCTTTGGATAGCAGCCTGATCGTCTGGAGTATCAAATACTCCTTCCAAGATTAAGGTTATATTATGGAAAAGGAAAAATCTAATATCTTTTCAAAATGGTATTGTCATACCATCCCGTGAAAGGCTTCTTTCATTTTCTGGATATCAGAGAGCTGAGGAAAGACAAGAATTAGGGGTATTCTGCCCTTCTGCTTCCATGTTTTTCCTTCAAGGTATATCTTTACATTGAGAAGTATGGCGACAAGACAATATACTACTTTTCTCTCTGAAGATTAGCAATTTCAGACTTAAAACTCTTAGCAAAAAAATTTTTTTTTCTGTTTTTAAGAGCTTTGAGAATGCATTTCTCAAACATTTTTATGTGAAACATTTAATTTCTATTTTTTTCCAGCAGGCATGCATTCTAGCTTTTCGTGTCTCAGTGTGACATAGCATTATAAACTTCAGAAGTTTCATTAGAAATTTTTGTAAGAACATTGCAGTTGTAAGTGTGAATTACAGTTAAATTTTATATGATGCTCAGCCTATTCAGAAAAGCTTAAGAAAAATTCTGTTTGGAATACAAATGTTTTAACAGAAATTGAGGGAAATTTAGGAAGGTAAAGTGATCTAATTGGAAATTTTGGCCTTGATAACTTATTTGTTATTTCATCTGTTCAGCATTTGAATGCAGTCTTCACCAAGTGTTCCTGTTTAACATCACCTTCATGTATTTGCTTGTTGATTTCTTTGCATGTTTCTTTGACAGCTTTTATAGTCAGAATTACAAATCAAACAAAACCCATTAAATCACACATAGCTGATAACTGAAGCACACCTGATGCTGAAACAAAATTGAAATAACATTTTACTCAAACAAGTGTGTTCTATTTATTTTGAACACAATGAAATAGCAGAATTTGAAATGCAAATAGGCACTAACCAAATTTCCTACACAGTTTAATCCCTCCTACTTCTACTATGTGCTTGACAAGCACAAAATTTGATGATGGTTACATGAAATATTTTTTGAAACATGCAGTCCATGTAGTAATTCTTAGCTGTGTGTATTTCAAGAATGCACTATATTCCATCAGCCCGGATAGCATTCGCAAATGATCTCATTAAAGAAGTCACCTGTTAATACATTTATGTGATCATTATGAGTAAATCTCTAGCCATCTTAATTAATGGCTTTCTTTTGCTTAGGCAGTATTTTGTGCCAAGACAGGGAAAACAATCTGGGCTAATCAGTATGAACTTGCAGCATTTCAGTAAATACTCTCTCCTTACCTTGCTGTATGAACAAATAACTGAGACCAGCTTTTAAACATACCCCAGTGTCTCTAGCGAAATACTGGGAATGCTAATTCATTACTATAATATAAAGCTAAGGCATGCTGTTGAAGCAGCAGAAATATTCTGCTTTTTACAGTCTTAGTTATTGGAACCTTTTCAAAGTGATAAATTATAAATTATAAATTATTTATAAACTCTCTCTGGGTTTTCTTCCTCCTGTGATGTTTTCCAAACACAAACACTGATATTGGACATTGATGCCATTATGCAAGTTTGACTTTTCCAAAAACTGCTCACACTGTTTTTCGGCCTGCTGGGCCAACAGTTATGTGGTAATGAATGCAGTCAATATGTTTACGATCTGAAAGACTGTCAGCATAACAGAAGTCTTATCTGCCGGTGAGGTTTAATAAGCAGTGGCAGTTGTAAGTAAAGTTGAGACTAGAATAAATTTGAGCTTTTTCATGGGGGCCTGCTGCTGAAAACTTGGAGCTCCAATGAAAGCAAAAAAGAATTGCATCTGTAAGAAATTATAATTTAACAGTTCTTGATTTCTTCTCGTGCCTTGACTTTCATGCATCTGTCACCCTTCTTCCATCTCATTTGAGGTGGTTTATCTTTATGCTTCATATATTTTAGCTATTACCTGTTCTAAAGATATTTATTCTGTTGGTATTCTAGCTTGGCAGTATCTTTAAACTTAATCTACAGTACTGTAACATTAAGGAAACATCCCATTTTATCATTTTACTACAAACAATGCTGACTAGACACACCACAGAGTGGTGTAATAGTCCTGGGAATCCTGACTTCTGCTCATTAGATACATCGGCTTGTTTATGGGAGCACCATTAACATGATCTCTGCTGTCTCTGAGTATATAAATTCTGAACCTGCTGTCTGTGACCTAACAGCTGTCTTTGGGCATTTCTGATTAACACCATTATTCAGCTCCTTAATGTTAATCACAGGTATGGGTAGTAGTACTCTGCAGTACTCGGAGTAGTGGGATAGGGACCATTTCTGTAACTTTCCTCATTCTATTGCTGCTATTTCCAAGATCTGAAATTGATCTTTATTTGGAATATAAACTACTTTGATTTTTCGAATGATGGTATCTCCTCTTTCATGGACCATTTTAAAATGAATTATATAAATGAACTGCTTAAGATAAATGATTCTAATATCATGGCTGGCTGAGCTAGGGACTGTGAGTTCCCTTTTCCACTAATGCAAGCAAAAACCTGTGACAGTCATTTAATACATGATAATGAAGTATTAAAATGAATAATTATGTATCAAGTAAAGGTGGTGATTTTTTTTCCTAATCATTTAAAGGTTTTAGATTTGAGCAGGGATTTTTGTCTTCTTAACATTTTGGAAAACTGTTTGGATGAGAAAGCTGACAGAAGTAGGAGACAAGACTAGGCACTAATTTTCTCTAACCTGCCTTTTAGGTGGGGTGCCACTGAGCTGGTGGATTGGAAGAACCAATGAAACTCATACTTACTGGGGAGGTTCCTTGCCTGCTGTACAAAAATGTGCTTGTGGATTAGAGGGAAGGTGCATCGATTCCCAGCATTACTGCAACTGTGACGCGGACAGGGATGAATGGTGACTTTTTACTATTGCTTATTCACAATATCTTTTAATAATAATGAAAAGTAAAGAAAGAAAAGATACAGGCCTTAGGACTTTTATAATACCAAGGCAGTTTGAAATATAAATTGCCATAGGACCACTTGTTTCTTTGCTATAGAACATGATTTTTCACAAAATTGTAACTATATACATTAAATATTATTGCTAATTCTTTGACTCTGAATTCTGGGGAGGGTTTAAAATACTTTCTGGTTTTGTAGTATATTGCATGTTATATATTAAGACCATTAGGTCTGGTCTTTAGCACAACTTCAGTTAGTTTTAGACTACTGAAAGCAATTAAAGCTAAAATAAAAGGTTCTGGGGGGAAAATGTTAATTTTTTAGCATAAGTTTTAACTACACTTTTAAGTTTAGACTTTTTACACCTTTTTTGTGTCATCTAAAACTTAGACAATTAGAATTAACATCCTTGCTATCAGCAATGCAAAGCACTCATATAGAATCCTGTTGTAAAGGGATGGAAATATTTATAGAATGCAGACCTTCCACTTGTGCCTGAAATCCTCTGATGTCATTTTGGATCCTATTCAAATAAGCAATGTAAGAGATTAGTTCTTGTTACAATGTCAAATCTGAACCTGACTTTTCACTTAAGAGGATCAGATACAACTTTCTCAATAATAGTCCCTGTGCAGTACAAGACTTTATAAAGCACAGGGACTTTTGAAATGAAAGGTTTTCTACTGAGGAAACTTTAGAGTTTTAAACTTGTAAAGTCCATTTAACATATAAATCAAATTCAGTGAGTATGTTAATATATGCATTTTTAAAAATGCATCAATACCTATTTTTGAAAGTAGAAAATATAAGCAGGGTACTTAGGAATCACTTCCTGTGTGCAAAATGAAGCAATACATAATTTTCTTCTCAAGCTAAATATCCACTCTTCCTTTAAGGGTGTGACTAGTGAATTTTGTGAGAAAATGCTTGTTCTCTCAACATGAGCAGGGAACTCAGCAGACACAGAAATGCAAATGCAACAGAGTTCATCAAAGAACAATTCTTCATAAGCTTCAAAACTTTCTGGAGAAAAGAATTTGCATTTGCAGTGAAACACGGAATGGTGTGCTTGCTCCAATAAAGACATAAAGAGACATTAAAGAGATATTGAAAGGTTCCTAGCAACTTTTCAGTATCTGAAGAGGGCCTACAAGGGAGCTGGAGAGGGATTCTTTGTTAGGAACTGCAATGATAGGACAAGGGGTAATGGTTTCAAACTGAAGGAGAGAAAGTCTAGGCTGGATGTGAGAAAAGGTTCTTTCCTCTGAGGGTGGTGAGACATTGGAACAGGTTGCCCAGGGAAGTGGTGGCTGCCCCAACCCTGGGGTTGTTCAAGACCAGGCTGGATGAGGCCTTGAGCAAGCTGATCTAGTCAGGAGGTGCCCCTGCCCATGGCGGGGAGGGGGAGTTGGGATGATCGGTAAGGTCCATTCCAATCCTTAAATTCTATTATTCTATGATTCTATGAAACACACAGAACACTAGAAATTTCCCTATTACTACACGGTACAAAAATAAAAACAATATTTGATTCTCAACAGCAAATATCTGTTGCAATATCTGAGCAAAATATGTGTTAAAAGTTGAATGCATCTTAAGACAGAATTTTGAATAATTGCTTATATATGTAATACATTCTTTCTCAGGTTTAGGGTTCATTTAACCCATGCTCACATATATAGGTTGATTTGTAAGGGTAGTGTATTTGTAATAAAGTAGATAAAAGGACGATGTGCATGTCTTTACTATAACTGCTTTGAGGAAATTGCTTATGATGATGAGTGCATTGCATTGAAAATATAATGACTTTAGGTTTACATTTCTGTTTATATCCACTTCTACCATTTTTAAGTGGAGATTTATCCCAGCGACTCCAATGTTGAAGGGGTTATGTGTACACTCATTTTAGTGCATAGAAAACCAGTTACACACTGTTATTTTGAAAATGTGTGTTCAATATTCTATTTAATAGTGAAATCTATCTCATTTCATAGATTGGATGTACATTTAACTTTAAAACTCCTTGTTTGACTAATCAAAATCTGTAAGCTTCTGAAAGTCCAGAATAAAAGCTTTTTTTTAAAAAAAAATGTTCCTAAAGATCTAAAAAATGCAGATCCTTTCTGCAGAAGGGGTAAACTAGTTTCTCTTCAGTTTCCTTTTGTTTTCATCATAGTATTACTGAAGCAAATACTTCTGGTGTTTTGAAGGTTTTTTTCAGTTCTAAAGTAGAAACCTGCAGTATCTCACCTTATCAAAAATTAGCATTTAAAAAAAAAATCTTTTGCATTCCTCACTTAAGCTAAAGATTTAACTGACAAAAAGAAGTGTACATATTCTTGCACTGTTCTCCAAGACAGATAAACAGAAACTGTATTCAGGGGAAAGATCATGCTGCTAGGAAAGGGAAGGAAGAGAGCTAGAAAAAAATTTACTAACTTTATTCAGCACAAGGACGAAATCTCTTCGTTCTCTTAGTCCCAGTGCACTGTGTACTGAGAGACCAGATTGCTACACATAACCACATTCTCAGATAAAGATGGCTTGCTTGCTGAAGTGTGTCTCATGTTTAATCTCTGAGCAGTGTGACTTCCAGATTACCTCCCGTCTCTGAGTTTATACTGATGTCTCTGATCTATTTGCTTTGCCCATTAAAGGGAAAATTCAACCATGAATGGTTTGAATGACAGATTGAATTTTCCAGAATGTTCCTGAGTGACTGGATATTTCTATGGGTTCAGAGGAAGCAATTTTAGGGCCACAACTGATGCTTATGAAATTTAAACATTCAGCTCCGAGACTAAGTTGAGAAAGATTTTAAACAATGAATTAGGCCTAAGATTGCAAGTAATGGTTATGTGCTCTGACTGTTGAGTTGCATATTTCCTTTTTTATGAGTTACATATTTGTAGCATATACTGCTTTTCCCATACACTCAGCATGACTTCATATATTTCTGTTTGATTTTTTAAACTTTTCTCAAGGTGAAAAAAGAAAAACAAGTTAGACTTATTTTAAAGTTATATTAAACCGTTAAATATTCCATAATGAACAGACAGTCCATTACAGATAAGTACGTCCTCAGCAACATAAAATCACTCACATGAGCAAATTCGTTGGCCTAGGCAGCAGTTAGGTACCCATTTATGTCAAGAAGGCTTTTCTCATGCTTATGCAAACAAGCACGACCACAAAACTACTCACTACTCATGAAATTCCTTCAGTCCTGTCAAGTGAGCACAATATCTATACTAAAGCATAAATTTCTATTCACAGTTCCTGTATTACACATATATTTTTGCAACACTTCTTTTTTCCCCAGAATTTCTTTCCTTTTCCCCTGCAATGTGTTACTGATAGCGATATGTTTATTGGAAACATATAAAAGAGCTGTGGCTTTCATTTTACCTTTTCAGGACTAATGATACTGGCTTCCTCTCCTACAAGGAGCATCTACCAGTAACAGAAATCGTGATCACAGATACTCACAGACCAAATTCTGAAGCAGCTTACCAACTGGGGCCTTTGCTTTGCCGTGGGGACAGTAAGTAACAACTGCAGGGTTTTGCTAAGCAACAAGGAGTTTTGACTGCAATAAATATTAAATGTTGTTTGTTAAAAGCTTATGATAGACTTTTGTAAAAATTTCATTCAGTTCATTTTGTAATTCGAAAGGAAAATGCCATAATCCAATGCAAAGCAGGATAGAAATGTAAAAATATGTTTTTCATTATGCACATCAACAGTGAAAACAAAAAGTGAGTATAGTTTTCAAACAGATATTTTGGTTTTCTGCAGTATGAGTTAAGTTAGTAGTAAAGCATTAGATGAGGGGGAATTCATAACTGGCTACTATATCTTGGGAACATACCCTTCACTATACACACATGCCTCCACCACAGAACATTATCCGTATTATGTCCTCTGAATATTTATGCAGCTATGAAAACCTTACTATGAGAGATTAATCCAGTGAATGCAATATCTAGAAGTAAAATTTCAACTCCACATAGGAATTTGAAATTCAGAAATTTACACAGTAATTCCAGCTTTACATCATGGATGTATTTATGGTAACCAGAAAAGTACCATGTGTGAAGGAATGATTTAAAGGAAATGAGACAAGTGGAACAAAACTGATCTTACTGAAGATTTGTGATGCTATTTCCTGTTAATTTCTATCTTCAATGGCAAAGAGAACATGCTTGGTTTATGTTCAGTAGTACATTATTTCACAGAATTCTATGTCTGCTGCTGTTTGTAGTCATAAGTTAGGAGAAGAAATGCTATAGATCACCCCAAAGAACTCAATCAAAGAGTTGAATGGGCTATATTTGGTATACAGTTCAGGAAGGTATTACAATATTCAGTAAGGTTCATTTCTTTAAATCACATGCTACCTTATGATTTTTCATGAACTTCTCTGTTGTTTAAAATAATTACAAGTTACTATTTTTATTCATTATGTGATTTTCCTCTTTCATCATATGATGTTGCGTTTGGTTCTCAAATTTCTTCAGCGTGTATGAACAAAAGGCTATGAATACTAGTAAAGAAGTACTGATCAGTACTTTTACACTCACTCAGGAAACTGCATAGATAAATAAATATCAATTATCATGTATTTATTTTATGTCATCTCTGTGGCTTGTCAGGATAATTATGCCTGGAGGATTTGTTAACAGATGCGTGTTACAGCACTGCATTCTAATTTTCTTATGAAAATTTATAAGACATGAGAAAACTCTTTTGGGTTCTTCCTTTTCACTTGTCTGACACCTGACTGCGAGCTGATCATTTATCCTACCTATCAAAGAACTGTTAAATCATGATGGTATAATGGAGGATTATGGCATAATTCAGAGTGAAAGGACCTAAGGAGGTTTCTTGCTTACAGCAGGATCAGCCATGTGTTCAGACTGGTCCCTCAGTGCATTGTCAAACTGGGGTTTGAAGCACCCAACGATGGAGTCTGCAGTACTTCTTTGGGCAGTCTGTTTCACTGCTTGCTGTCCTCAATGAGAATTTCCTTTCACTTAGATCAAGCCTGAAACTCTGTGCGGTTACCTTATAATCAGTGTCTTTGATACTCACACCTCACATCAATGCAAAAACCTCTTTTGATGATTTCACCTTAGGTTTCCCGGGCTTCCCTCAGAAAACCTATCCCTTCTCCAGGCTAAACCAGCTTGCTTACTTCAACCTGAAAGGCAGAACAGGTGTTCCGGTCCTGAACATCCTGGTGGCCTTCACAATACTTGCTCCTGTTTATCAATGTTTTCTGTTACTAGAGGGACTAAAATTGGAAGCCATATATAGCTATTGTCTTACAAGTGTTGAATAGAGGGGGATAACCACATCCCTCAAATTGACTGGCCATAATTGCACTGCTGATCGTGCAGCAGGCCTCCCTTGTGGCCAGGGAGAATAAAGCCAGGGACAAAGACAGTCATGAAAAAAAGGATTTAGAGCTTATGTAGTATTAATAAGTGGGGAGAATTTGAGTTTCACTACTCTCCAAGTTCGCACCTACTGTTATTTACATAACCTGACCTCAATTATGACAAATCTTAAAACACGGAAGTCAACTAGCTTCCCCAGATTGATCACTAAAACACACAGACAGTTCTGATACTCATTGACCTCCATGACTGCATTTAATGTTTGCTTAGTCTGAGTGATTGAATTGCTGCAAAATTTCACACTGATGGTGAACAATCACAGTATTTCTAGACAGGCTGCAATAGAGAATTATAAAATATCATATGAGCAAGCACAGGAAGTCAGTGTCTGAAACTGAGAGAAGTATTTTTGTACTGTCATACATTATATGATTTGACTTCAGAAAGATGCATTTTTGAACTGAAATAAGCTCAGTGAAATAACTTCAGAATATAACAGTGGTAATAATACAACAAACACCTTGAAAAGAGAACCTTAATTTTAATTCTTTAATAAATGCAGTAATGATGCAAATTTTCTCAGTCATTTACATGGTAAAGGATAGTAAAGGATTAAATTTATTTAGGGAGATTAGGGCTTATATTTGAGAAAGCAACACAGAATTTCTGAAGGAAAAAGAAATGTAAAATCACAGAGTTTTGGCATAAAAATAAAGTGCACCTTGTTAATAAAAAATATTGAGTAGATAAAAAAAGATATTAATACAAGTGTTCATATAATTTATTACATCTTATGTATCTTATATTTTATATAATGTACAATGAAACTTATGATATTGTCATACTCAAAATTAAAAATATTTTTGATGCTTCCATGATGAGTCCAGAGAAGGGCAATGAAGTTGGTGAAGAACCTAGAGAATAAGTCCTATGAGGACTGGGATTGTTTAGACTGGAGAAGATGAGACTTTATCACTTTCTACATCAATCTGAAAGGAGGGTGTAGCAAGGTGGGGATCGGCCTCTTCTCCCTGGTGACTAGAGCAAGACTAGAAAACACAGCTTCAAGCTGCTCCAGGCCAGATATTAGGAAGAATTTCTCCACATAAATGTTTTTCAAGCATTGCAACAGGCTGCCCAGAGAAGTGACAGAGTCACCGTTTTAAGCTGTTTAAGAAAAGACTAGACATGGCACTTACTGCCATGGCTTTGTTGATTTGGAGGTGTCTGGTCAAAGGTTGGACTTGATGATCTCAGAGGTCTTATCCAACATAATTGATTCTGTGATATGTCATGCATAAGAAATGGTATTTATAGAATATTTATACTGTATTAAAGTTTATTTCTATATTTCTTCATATAGAATATAATGATACATTTTCTTTAATGTTAATTTTTACAGTAATGTAAAAAACTATGAGTTTCAGTAGTTTCTCAATCCTGCATATTAATTTCACACTAAACAAAGTTGATGAATTAAGTCTAAACTTGCTTGCCAGACCGGCAATAACATATTAGAAGCACTTGGAAGCTGCAGGAAGAAAGCAGACCATTATTAAGATATTTTTTCTAATTTGAGGTTGCAGACACCCGTGAGGATCTGATTAAATGCACTTTTAATGGCATTTACCTTTGTATAGGTGAGGAATGCAAAAAAAGGTCTGAAAAATTTTCAGAAGTGCTGTTGAACAAGGAAGAATAGATATTCTTGGATTCACAGTGTGATTTGAGTACTCTCCAGAGAGATGATTGCTTATTTTTGCTTCTGCCACTCTCTAAAACTAAATTATACAATTCTACTTCACAGGGGATACCCTTTATTAAACATGGTTTTATTCTTTCTGACAGTCATGTGAAAAACATGGGGGAGAAGGTTTAGTTGTATCTATAATACATTCAGTACTTCATTAAATGATTCAAAACTAAGAGTTCATAAATTCTCATTGTATCAATAATCTATTCCTTGTAGGACATTTACTTAGAGAGAAACATAATTGTTTATGCCTCCAGCAAAACCAAGTAGACCCATGAATAATATGTTGAATTGAATTGTCATAAACCATGCACTCCTTGACTAAGTTTCCAAGTTAGAGTTACTTATTTAGGTACTTATAAAAAGTAATGTATCATAACTTGAATACAGTCTTGCAGAAGTTGCCTATTCATCATTGCACATTTTTTATTTTCACTCTTTTATTTAATGTTCCATTACTGTACTTGGGTTTTTTTTTGTTTCAGGGTTTATGGATTGATCTCTTCAATAAAGTATGTTACTTATAGGAAACCAAACTATGTTTGGTAGAGCAAGGCAGGAAAGAGTAGTCTTCTGTAAGGAAAAGTAACCAAAGCAATACAAGTATATTTTGTTTCATAAAGTTATAAAGGTTACATTCAAATATAAATTATTTCTTTCTCAGCATTTGTGATAGAGTTAGCTAATTATAAGATGCCAAGATGCAATGAAAATAGCAAAGAAGTTCTAGAAGAATATGGAAATGTAAAGCAATTTAGAAATTCAACTGCAAAATGACAGCACAAGCATGTAAATGGAAGCAAATAATCCATTCAATGTGAATTCCCAGTTTGACATTTAAATTAAAATTAAAACAACTAGTGTAAGCTTTGGATATAATAAAGACTAACTGTATTGACCAATCATAAATGATATCTTCATTAAAGCAGCACAGTAGCTTTCTAAGTTTAGCAAAACAATAAATGCTTCATCTCTCTGCACTAGCCTGAGAAATCAGGGCATGTCTTTGTTAATAGCGGAAGTATCTGTATACAGAATGTTCACTTCTTCCTCTTATTTAGCTTTGTGTTATTAATTATTGTTAACTTATATTTGTCCTAACCTAAGTCCAATCAACATTATTTTGATGTTCTTTGCAGTTTCCTGCATAATTGAGAAGTTAATACAAGTCTGTGGTTACAGTTTTACAATACGTAAAAAGGATATAAGGTTAAAGGATTGCATTAAAGAAGTTGAGGTGCATTTGTTAGTGAAAGCTTCTTAAGATTAATATTTTTGCTTAATTCAGGCAAAATTTGCAGTGACATGTTCAACTTAAGTGGAGTGGTCAGTATTTAAAGCTGGGTCAATGGTCTGAGGGTGTGTGAATACTTGTATATAATTGAATGGACAGTAAGAGTATTTGTGAATTTTCCAGAAATGGACAGATTTTAATGGAAGTATTTGTGAATTTTCCAGAAATTGACATATTTTAATTGAATCAATTTAATATTTTTTCTAGAATAAATACTTTTTCAAAGTATTGATTCAGGGAATTTGTGTTGTCTGTTGCATATCAGAAGCTGATGATCACAGCTTTCCCTTCTGTCTTTTATCTATGAATCTTATAATAAGCTGCAGTGTAGTGAAGTAGTGATACAGATGGGGCAGCTATACTCCCCAAATTCTCAGAGGCAAACAGTTGCCAGCTGGTCAGACTTCATAACATTAGGAGGAAAGCTTTAGAAGAATCAATTTTTGCATACTTCTCAGTAATTTTGTCCTTCTGACAGAAATATTTCACAAATATGAAAATAAATACATGTAACTAAAACACGTAATAGGTAATTAAGACCTTCTTGCTTGGTTTTTGCATGGGAATAAAGCAAAACATTCCCCCCACCTTTCCATGCACCCAACCGAACAGTGCCAAATGTAAGCAAAGCAAGCAGACAAACAAAACTGCTATAATTCTAATAATAAATGATCACATAAAAGATCAGTTTAAGAGGCTAGATAGGGAGGAACAGACCAATGTCACCATGCAAAATGTCAATCAACTCTTGGTATTTAAAATCAGATAATCTAGTAATGCAGATAGGATAAAGTAACAGGATTCTGCAATTGACAATGAACACATTTCTACAGCAGTGAGCTTCTATACTGCTACCACTGTGCACGTATAATCTGATCACAGTGACATTCCAGTGAAATTCAAAGGTCCTGTTGATGTACCACAGACCAGAAGCTGGCTCTTAGAGGAAAGAGCACTCTCTGCTGGATGCTTTCTCAGTACATTTTAAGCATTTCACTCTGAGAAGGAGAATATGGGAAAGATGCCAGGTATATTAAAAGTCATCTTCACAAAGACAATAGACTATTTTGAGAACACAACTGGCATCTCCAGATTAAAAGCATTGTACCTTAGCTGTGTTAGTATGTGAGAGATGGGAAGTATTTTGTTTGTCATGTCAGTTAGAGATTTGCTTTGTTTGAGGGAGATGAAAAACTTTTAAAAAAATATATATACCAAAAATACTGTTCAGCAACATAAGTTCTTTATTTTATCTGCCTCAACACTCACTGTCTCTGCTGGTGTTTAACGCTGAAAGAGTGAATGATGCACACCTAGAGATGTCATGAGGAATTGTTACAAATGACAAACAGATTTCAGTTTTGATTAAAAACTTGAAGAGTGCTAAATTTTGGACTTGCACAACTCTTTTGAGAGTCACTTTTGATGTCTTTGCAACATTAAAATGAGCAATTTTTCTGTCTCATTCTTATTTGTCCCTTTTTCACTTTACAGGTTCAAGTTGGTAAGATGAGTTGATAAATGCCAAAAGCTAAAGTATTTTTTTAATATAAATGTGCATATTTATCATTTATAACAGACTGGATCTTACCTTTTTACTCAGAGGAAGACTGCCATTTTTCTGTTTGGATAAAATGTTAAATATTATTGATTTCCTAACTACATGGTGTTTGGCAATTCCAGCAAACTAAATAGGACACTGTGAGCCAGATAGAATGAAGTGTAGAGTGAAGAAATTATTTTCTCAACAACAGCATAAGATACTTTGTAATATACTTTTCCTAGATCTATATTTAACCTGCTTTATTGATACAGTAGTTTAACACTCATAAATCACACAATTCTCAGAGCTGAGAAAAAGAACAGCTATATAAAAGAAGACAGTAAGTAAAGAGAGAAAAAATAAAACTTCCTATGCCTGCCCTCCTCCAAGGACTGCATTCTGATTTACAGTGATCATTCAAATGCTTCATTGAAGCTAATTGTATCATTGCTTTACTGGACTGTTACTGCCACTATTGTCTCTCCTCTAATTGCTATCAATGTTGTGCCAATTTTGTATAAATTACTAGTATTAAACTTCCTATTGCATCTGAATTGCTGGTAATAGCCAGCCCATTATTTTTAAATAGCTGTGATATACTTGAGTCACAAATGTTGTGATGTTTGCTCTGTGGGAGCCATAACCAGCTGAGGAACATGGGCTTAAAATTAATCCCACAATGGGACTGCTGCCTTTGGCTGAAGGCACTTTTCACAGGATGATAACTTCAAGATGCCTGTCAAGCAGCACAGGAGAGCGAGGTGCAAAGCTCCACTTTCCTGTCCCAGCCTGCGCCATCTGTTCATAGCTGTCCTACCATGTGAAAGTTGTCCTGATGGCTGGTTTAACTTGTGATGGCTGGCAGTACTCCCAAGTGTCAAATGTCACAACAAGCAATTGCCAGAATAGGTGTGAAAATCCTTCCATGTTGCTTTTCTAGGTGTGGGATCCAAACCCTTACTGAAACTGCAAAAAAATGGTCTGGAGGAATGAGGGATGGACTTTAATTTTACTTCACTGGGCTGTGGAGTAGGCCTCTGTGTACATCATATCACAGGGTTTGATTTTGCAGTGAAGAGAGAAATATTAACATCTTTCAGATTATTTTCTCCCCCTTCCCATTCTAAAAACAAAAAAATTTTGTTTTGTGTAACATTTAGACCCAGATCACAATATTATCAAGAGAATGTGCAACGACCTTGATCAGTTAAAGGTATTGAATGCCTCACTTGATTTAGAAAGCAATATAGTTTAATAAAGAAATACAGATATATCTGTAAGAATTCAGCAATAATAAGGCACTTCCAGTTGAGCACCATAAATGGAGAGTATTTATGTATTAGAAGAGGATATTATCAAAGATTTTACATAAGCTTTTTAATAATCAGTAACAAAATCTAGAAAATTATGATGAATCCATAGCTTAAAGAAATATTTGATCTTGTAAACTTTCTTTGAGTAATACTGACTTACATTGTTTATCATGTAAGAATGTGTATGAACTTTTAAACTGAGTCAACTAAAGAAGAAGATACCTTCATAATTTGTCGTGTTAATTCCTTCTAGAGTAATTACTAGGGTACGTGTCCTACACTCTTTGATATTTGGCAAAACTTCACTGGACTGCAATGATAACAGGACTATTTCCTTTGTTATCTGAAAAATATATATAACAACTTCCATTGTTTATAGTAGCTAATCACAGAGTCATAGAATCATTAAGGTTTGAAAAGACCTTGAAGATCATTAAGTCCAACAATCAACCTACCACTGCCACCATGTTCATCTTTAACCCATGTCCTCAAGTGCAATATCTACATGTTTTTTTGACACCTTTGTGGATGGTGACTCCACCACTTCCCTGAAAAGTCTTTTCAAGTCCTTACAACCCTTTCAGTGAAAAAAGTTTTCATAATATCTTAGCTGAACTTGAGGCCACTTCCTCTCATCCTGTCACTTGTCGTGAACCTAGTTCACTACAATGTCCTTTCAGGTAGTTATAGAGAGCAATAAGGCTTCCCTTGACCCTCCTTTTCTCCAGGCTAAACAACCCCATCTGCTGCAGTCACTACTACTATAATGTAGGTATCCATTCATTCAAAGTAGTTATGTTTGTCTGCTTCATGAAAGGATACATTGGGCTATAACTAGACTTCCTAGATGAGATGCAATTCATTTTGTTTCCTATTAATTGGGCACCTTTATTCTTGCTGAATCATTTTTCTCCATCTCCAAGAACCCCTACTTATTTTGTTTTATAGACCAATCAGGCTTCTGTGGATCTTAGATGTTCTGAACCTTGCAACCCCTTCTTAGACCTAGGCATTTGTTTATAAGTTATAAAACTTATATTGGCAATGTTAGATAACACTGTATTTATACAATCTTTCATTTTGATAACCAGGAACATTTTGGAATTCAGCTTCCTTCAACACAGAGACGTCCTATCTGCATTTCCCCACCTTCCATGGAGAGCTCAGTGCAGATGTCTCATTTTTCTTTAAAACTACTGCTTCCTCAGGAGTTTTTTTAGAGAACCTGGGAATTCAAGACTTCATAAGGATAGAGTTATCCTGTAAGTAATGTGACTGATGGCTGTTGTTGGTATTACTGCTTTCAGTTTGATTAAATGAGAATTAATTTAAAGGGGGAATATTTTAAAACTGTTCTCTTGCTTTATTACTTCCACTACAACTACTGGATCTTTATCATTATCTAAAAAATGTCAGCAATGAAATTATACAAATACCCATTCAAATATATTTTCTGCCCCAGAGGTTTCTTAATCTAAGAGGACTTCAAGCAGCCCCTAACTGCTGACTGTTTCTCCTTGGTAACACTTTCTTATCTTTTTTCTTTATTTTAAATATTATTTCATTTTATTACATACCCAAATCCTTACTTTTTTAAAAGCAAATAAATGTTTATTGCATAAGAGAAAATTAAATATGAAATGCATGTAATCCAGTAGGATGACCAATGCACAATGAAAGGTTTATCTTAATTGACTCAATATTTCAGTTTTAAATTCTTCATTAGTAAAAGGGAGAATATTTAAATGAATGAAGCATTGTTTAAAAATTCTTTTGGATTAATTTAGTATGTCACATCAGGTGATTCAGAGATCTTTAGACCATTTTTTACTTTGGGATTATACAATTCCTCATATTTTTACAAATCCATTTTGCTATCAGACATCAGTATTTCCCATAGAAGAGTACAAGTAAATATATATCTTACATTGCAAAATATTACTGTAGAAACATTAGTGATTCTTTGTTAAAAAATAGAATATTATGCTTTCTTTTTTTGTTCATGTTAATGTTTTATGTTGATGAAACAAACAGGAAAACACTACTGTGTTCTTCTGTAGGTAGTTTAATTATGCAATATTGTGTAGTGCTTAATCAATTTGTTTTACATTATCTCAAACAATAGTGCTGTACTTGAAAGCTATCTTGCTTTCAATATTGTTCTTGCTATGTTTATCAAGAGTATGAACTGCCTTCTGTTAAAATTCTGTGAACTGCTTAAAGCATTATCATCTCAGTGTCATGCAGTACAGAAAATATACTAGGTCAGCACTTCAGTGGAGACTCTCTGAAGCAACAATTATATTCTTGTCTGATAAATGATGTTCAGTTTTCAAAATAAACAGTTAAATCATGGAAGCATTAAAGAAGTGCTTCCAAGAACTAAATTTATTCAGACCTTTGGCAGAAGATCGTAAGTTTTTTGTCAGAATAATAATATGCAGACAAGCTCATGTCACCTGTCCCATGTATTCATAAGGGTCCAAACTTCTATATACTTATGGTTTGTACATGGCTCATGAGTAGTGTGGCATGAGAGAAAGCAAAATGCTGAATCAATCTGTATATTCAGCATTTAAAAAAGAAAAGTTATCTAATTATTGTGTAGCATGTAAAGATATTTCTTCAGTTCCATGAACACCCTAATTTGTTGAGTAGACAGCTCTATTATTTTTTGTATGTCATAGGTAACTTACAGGTGGGATTGTTTGTAGGGAAGCCAGAACTGTCTGTTTTTACTGAGGGCAATATCAGTCAGAAATGAACAATATGCATTTTCATCACAAACACCTTTCTCAAAAAAAAAGAAAAAAATTAAAACATCACCTTGAACTTTTCGTGTTGTATAGGATCCTTTGGGATTCATCATCATATACGGTTTTATAGATGTGAATAGACATGAATGTAAATCACCAAACTGCACTTGATGTTGTATTAATAGGTCCACATAAATTAGTGTCGTTTATTTGTGTAATAATAAATAATAATATAAATGTCAGGTGTCATTGCTTAAGATTATGATATGTGAGAAAATGTTTAAAATTCACTATGTTATTAACATTTGACATTCAGTACTTGGAAAAAAAAATCTTTTTTAGACATTTTATTGACTCAAACTTTTTATCTAATTCTTTTATTTATGTGGTAATGATCTTTAGACCTTGAAGTCTAACTTTGCAAGTGAAAATGCATCAGATCAAGAATTTTAATAGGAAATGTGAAGCTTAGTGCTGTTACTTTGGTTTTATGAAGTTATAAACACTGCAGTGCATCTGTATGTAATATTCTAGAACACTTTTGCGAAAATGAAGATGTGCAACCTAATTGTTTTTTAAAACAGAGAGTAGGTGAATCATCTCAAAGAAGATACTTGATTGATTTCTTTTTTTTTCACCACATTATAAAAAACCTATGTGGTATTTTCCTTATTTCCTGAAATCTTCTGCAGAAGTAGTGGTTGAAAACAACAAGGCCAATTCAACTCTGAATAGTGCACCCTATTAAATACTTATATGACTACAGGTTACACACTCTAGCCAAAATTCTGATTTATACTGAATACTCACTGAGGGATTTTTTATAATGAGTTAAACAGAAATTTAAATTAGGGTTGGGAACGCTATGGTGTATTGATTTGGTAATAGTTCAGAATAGTCCAATATGCAGCTCCTGCTAGCCTTTGTCTGCCCAAATGCACAACTTACTGTCCAGGATGACAGGAATTCAATTGTTTCCTTTAAGAAAAGTGCTTGGATTTTGCATTCTGTAGCATATTACTTGGTAATCACTTTCTGCTTCTGCATATGATGCTCAGTCTCAATACTCTGAATGTTCCTCTGTGGTGGTGCTTCTGTTAGTCATTTTAGCCACAGCTAGCCACTCACAAATCTCCATGATTACCATCAGCTTCATCTTGCACTCCACTTTGCCAATCTGTAGCTGTGCTTTGCCTATGTTTGCATGCATTAGGTTCACAAGATTCGTGCAATGCTTGAAAAAGTTTTGAGTAATGCCAAGGTAGGTAGAGCCCAGAAAATATTTTTGTGCCAGGAGAGAACTCCTGGATGTTTCTTCTGCTGCCCAAGAAATGATCAAAGGGCTCTTTGCCTCTATTCTTTTTTGCAAGATGACAAATTTTAGAACCCGGTCAGCATCCTTCCACATCCCGTGGCATACTTTCCACAGGTGGTTTCACCACTGTCCTTATAAGTACACAATTTCTTTCAAATTTGTAGTGTAGTTGCTTTTAGCAAAAATACTTAAAATATGATAGAATGTTAAGTGGTTATATTTTTCACTTTTTCTGGCATATTCTGGTTAGTCTTCAGATGCTCTAAGGGTTGACTGTGCAGTCATCCTTGCTGTTTAGACCTTCCTCTGCGGAACTTTTGGGATTGGTTCCTGTTTTTCAAGATTATATTACTTTTTTAGTGGTATGAATTATTTCAGTGGTTATATCAAAATCTTTATTATGTGTTTTCTAGCCTTTAAAATCTAAACAGTAACATTATTTATCAGATCTGTCATTCTGATATGCTATTTAATAGGCACATTCAGTGAGTTCAGAGCAGAATTTGTGTTTTCGGGCTTCACTCCAACAGTATCCAGAGGATTACAAAGACCTCCCTACAGAAGGTAACATTCAGCAGAAATTCTCTATAGCCAATCACATGGAGTTTCTGTTGCTTTTGTTCTCCTGCTGTGTGGTTGGGTTCTTTTTCTTTTATCTCTCAGTAAAGGGAGACTGAGCTCTCAATTTTGTCCAAACAAAAGAAATTTATCCTAAAATTCTTTTTACTATGGAACTGTTTTAGACATCAGTTATTTCTTTATTATTGTGTAAGACTGTTGATTTTTAAGGAGAAGAGGTAATTTATTGCAAAAGGCATTCTGTTTAAAAATTGGCTACATTATGCCATATTTTATTTGGTAAGTGAAATGGTTTGTGTATTTATTATTTTACTTTTATCTCTCAGGTTCCACTCTTAGAGAAAAATACTTCATAACAATAGGTTTCAGGGCTTGAGGGATTGCAAACATGTGGCATTACCAAGTCTAAAGGTTGACCAAAGTGGATGTAAATGTTGTAAAAGGTCTAATCTACCTTTAAAAAGTGAAAATTAAAAAAAAATTGCATTGAATATTTTAAGTCAGTAAATTCCACTTTGAAAGGGTTGTTTGAAGAGAGTATATTTTCCTTGACTACTTCTAATTGTTTTGCTTTTCTATCAGAACTCAATTATGTAGATTGGAACCCTTTTTTTGGATTCATGGAATCTTCTTAGACCTATAATACTTTACTAAAATCCTTAATAATTCAAAATTATGGCAATCCCCTGTTTATGGATTTCATGTTTTCATATACAATTGTGCTTGAATATGTGAAAGAGTTTCAGAGTGAATATTCACAGTTTTCAGATCTTCAGTTTCTGGCATATTCCTTATTATTTTGGCCTGCAAAAATTCAGTTATGAACAGTAAAGCAAACAATAAAGATATGTAATATGAAAGCTGCCTAGAGAAAGACTCAATTTTAATCATCGTATACATAGTCTTATAAACATCATAATTTGCCCTCTGATATTTGTAGAGACTGTGTGAATAAAAAACAAAAGCAAATAGACTGTAGAAAATGCTGGTTGGATTATATGGTGATAATTTATAGTTAACGATGGCAACCAATTTACATGTAAGTGAGAGATGCATTTCATCTGAACTGAAAAATACCAAAGCTAGCACATTTCACTGTTTCTTGACTACTATGCTCTCTAGGGATCCACAAACAAATTGGTTTCCATGCTGTGGATAAATAATTGTTCTCAGTCAGTGAGTGTGAAGAATGAACTTTAGGGGTAGGCCTCCTGAAGTAAACTTTCCCCCTAAAACAATCAATCTTATCCCATGCAATGGTAGGCTAGACCTTAAGGTAACTTGTTCTGTTACTAAATGATTTTGTGAATCAATGAACTATGAAATAATTTAAATGTTTGTTATCACTGTCCTCTTTCTAGCTCCATCTGAAGTGATTTTTTCATTTGACGTTGGAAATGGACCTAATGAAGTTATAGTGCAATCACTCACTTCCTTAAATGACAATCAGTGGCATTATGTGAAGGCTGAACGAAATGTCAAAGAGGCATCCTTGCAAATAGATCGACTTCCTCAAAGATCTCACAGTGCTCCACCTGATGGGCATATTCGCTTGCAGCTCAACAGCCAGCTTTTTGTAGGTAGGCCCTAATTTCACAGAATCTTTCCCAATTATCATCATAAATATATGAAAAGGAACATGGTGGGGTGGGGGGCCAAATTAAAACGGATGGCAGCTAAGTCTTTTGAAAGCCATTTGTATGATGACATGCGAGCCTTTGTGAAAAAGCCATGGAAATGTTGTACTACTTTGAGATTACAAATTGAACGCCTTAACCTATAGTTATTGCTAGACAGGATTTCAAATGAAGTTTATTTCTTTTGAGGTTTGTTTGAAGGGATACCCAAGGATCTATAAATATCAACATTTATTCGAGAGGATGTAATCTGCTGAGGGAAGATGTGCTATTTCTGTAATTTCAAGGAAATCTTGTTGTCTCTTCATCCATAGCTTCTCAGCCCAGTAAAGTTGTGAATGCCCCATCATTGGAAGTGTTCAAGGCTAGTTTGGGACTTTGAGCAACCTGATCTAGTGAAAGATGTCCCTGTCCATGCCAGGGAAGTTGAACTAGATATGTAGAATGATGAAAAAGCAGAAATGGATTTAAAAAGATTTAATTAATATTTATTTAGCGTTTACATAACTCTATATAGAGCTATGTGTTATGTACATAGTAGTCTTCTTACTGTAATAATTGCCATATTATGAATTTATAAGTTTCTGGTGTATGTATGGTATGCAGTATAAGAGCATGTAAAGGCAGTCGTATTTTTAAACAGACCTTTATTTAGATTTGCTGTGAGAAAATCATACTAAATCAACATATGTTTTATTTGGGGCATATTGGGGAGAAATGCATTTCAGGGGAATAGTGTTCTTAAACTGTAGCTACAAAAGCTGTGAATCCTCTGAAAAAAAAATTAAATTACTAGGGAAACCTTGAATACTCTGATCAATATTCTGACCTGTGTTTCAAAAGGCATTGGAAGTAGAAGACAGAGACTAGACCAAACACTGAAGAATTTTGTACCCATGGAGGAGGATTATATAACAAAGAAACATATCCAATATATTTGTTGGAGTAGAGTTAGGAGAAGTCTTAAGATTGGTTTATATTCACAATAATGGACTACATCCATTAGTGGAAAGATTAAGAGATTTCTGTTTTCTATACTCCAGTAAATGGTATTGCTGTTCCCTGACTTGATTTGCCATGTAGATGCTATAATACAAACACCTGAAGTTAGATCACTGAAATGGTCTAAGTCTGTAGGTGTCTATGTTACTATCAAGTCTCAACACTTTTCTAATGATCTTGATGATTAGTTGCTCTCTACACCTTCTAACTGTCTCCTGAAAATCTAATGCTATACTATCCTATATTAACAGTTGTATCTTCTGACATTTTAGGAAGTAATTAACCATTGACTAGTGTGATTTTTTTGTCAAATAATTTGACACGTGTGAATAAACTTATGCACATCCATCTCTTATATGGAGCTGACAATAGAAAAATTGTTTTGACTTATATACAAGTAAGTTGTCTAGCTTGTTTTCTTCAAATAATGTTCAGGTGAATAATTGTATTAGAATAGTGATTTTCTTCTGCTTCTGGTGTTGTGGCTTTTTTTAACCCTCTGAATATTCTTGAAGAATCCTGGGATAAACTGAAATCATGTTCACTGTAGTACAGTGTACCTTGAAATTCCTTCTAATTTTGTACAATTATTTTTAAATAATTTGGAGCAAAACTGATAAAAATAGCCTTTGTTTAATTTGATTCTGTCAAAACAGTGATTTAGAAGTGTTACATGACAGATGATAGTGATTCATTTTATTGTACATTTTCTAAAGAAAATATATGCAGGTTTACTGTGACTTTTGGGGGAAATCTGTTTCTGCAACTGCAGTGCTGTAATTTGATTTAATATGGTATCTAATCTAGTTTGTGTTTGAGTTTCACCAGTCTTCTGGACAATGCAACTCCCAACTATCTATAATGTGCTTTCATCTCTTCAGTGAATTAAAATTTTATTCAGTGGAGGGACTAATGAGACTTACTGTTGCACTGCTTCTGCTGACTCTGTCTTGTTTGCTCAAGCCAATTAAGAGATCTAGAGAAAAATGAAACATACAATGTCGTTAGAATGACATTAGCAGAGGTACTCTTTACTTAAATGTCATCTTGTAAATCCAGTGTCTTCCTTAGTTTCCCATCACACAGTCACTAACATATGAGGACTGTGATTTCTTTTAATTTTTTTAATTGTATACACTCTGGTTTTCCAGAACCAGAAGGAACTAAAGCCTAAAGCTGCCATCAAAATCATAGAATCATAGACTCACAGAATGGTTAGGGTTGGAAGGGACCTTGAAAATTGCCTAGTTCCACCCCCCCTGCCATTTTAACAGATGTAAACTTAAATTGCCATATTGGTAGATTGTTGTGTTCCACTAGAACTGTAAATAACAACAGCTTTGTCAATATTTTCCATGTAGCACCAAGACCTTTACAAACTTTGAAATAAGAAGGCTCAAAATGAATGATTGCATGAAAATACTTAACCAAAAGATAACTGGAAGTGCATGAGAATTGTAGTTGATAGTCTTACACATGGTAGAATATTTTCTGTTTTAAATTTTTGTAAGAGAACAAATGACAGGAAATATCAAGGTTGTGTAACAAAGGGTAAGAGAGATGGTCTGTTGATGGCATACTGTATAAGCAATCCAGATGAACAAAATCTTAGCTGTCAGGAAAAATAAAACAACGAAACATAAACCACAGTGAAAAGAAATGAATCAACACTCCTTGTTAGTTTTAGGATTGCCCTGTATTGTTATCACTTATGCTTGCTCATCAGGTATAATCTCACTAGTATTCTACTCTAGTGAGGGGCATAAACCCGTATGACTGAATAATGGACACAGCTTCCATTATGGGACAGAGTATATCAGGACAGACACCAGTGGTGAGGTATCAGAGAACCATAGCATCATTAAGGTTAGAAAAGATATATAAGAGCATTGAGTCCAACCTTTGACTGAACTCACAACCTTGTCAACTAAACCATAGTACTAAGTGCCATATCCAGTTGTTTTTTTAACATTTCCAGCAGTGGTGACTCCACCACCTCCCTGGGCAGCCTGTTCCAATGCTCAAACAGCCTTTCAGTGAAGAAATTCTTCCTAATGTCCAACTTGAACCTCACCTAGCACAGCTTGATGTCATTTCCTCTTGTTCTGTCTACCAGTTGCCTGGAAGAAGAGGCCAAACCCCACCTTGCTTCAACCTCCTTTCAGATAGTTGTAGACAGTGATAAGGTCTCCTCTTCTCCAGGCTAAACAAACCCAGCACCCTCAGCTGCTCCTCATATGACTAATTCTCTAGACACTTCATTGGCTTCATTGCCCTTCCCTGGACATGCTTCAGCACCTCAGTGTCTTTCTTGTAGAGAGGGGCCCAGAACTGGACACAGAATTCAAGGTGCAGCCTCACCAGTGCCAACTGCAGAAGGACAATCCCTTCCCTAGTCCTGCTAGCCACACTATTTTTGATACAAGCCAGGATGCCATTGACCTTCACCACCTGGGTACAGTGCTGGCTCATGTTCAGCAAGCTGTCAGCCAGCACCCCAAGGTCCTTTACTGGCAGGGAAACTTTGCAGCCATTCTGCCCCAAGCCTGCAGCCCTGCATTGGATTGCAACAGAAGGGCAGGACTCAGCACTTTGCCTTGTTGAACCTCATACTGTTGGTCTCAACCCACTGATTCAGCCAGTCCAGATCCCTCTGCAAAGCCTTCCTACCTTCCAGCAGGTCAACATTCCTGCCCATCTTAGTGTCAGGTGCACTCA